TACTTAAGTTTAGCATCACTTAGCCACCTTATTGGTACTTAAGTGCAACCTATTGCACTACCTCAAACAGAGGTAGACTGCTCGTCTAACTGCTGTCCTACAATAGGATACTACCAATCTGATGACATCTTCTTGTAAAAAAAAAAAAAAACAAAAAAAGATTTTATATATAAAAAAAAAACAGAGGTATAAAAATAAATAATAAAAGATACAAAACAAAAACTAAAAGAAAGAAAAAAGAAAATGAGAAAAAAAGAAAGTGTGAAACTTGTAATTTACAAAAAATCAGATGGTTATGATTTTAAGCCTGTGTTAGGCATGAAACTTGCAATTTACAGATATTAGACAATTACAATTATAAGCCTGTATTAGGCTTATAAAAATTATAAATTATATTAAATAAAAATTATTCTACTTTCTTTCTATTTACTTAGATTATTTAAACAAAAAACCAAAAAGAAGAAAAAAACTTCAATTTTATCATAAAGAGTTGATATAGGATACTGGTTAGTCTGAAGACAATGTTTAATAGGTTTTTAGCAGCTCGAGGCATGTGTATAATCATGTTTGTATTGCTGTATTATTTTTGATCAATGTTGTAAACAATTCTGTTTAGAAAATAAATACTGCTGACTGTTTTGGTAATTTTACGTGTTGATTTTTAGAAGGAGATAAACTGAATCACCTACTTTTTACAAAATTTTTCTTGAAGAAAAAGTAAGAGTGCTAGGTAAATCAACTTTTAGCTTTTGTGAGTTTTTGATCCTTGTAAGTGTTCCTTATAGGTTTTATAGTTGTATAAAATTAATATATCTAACTTTGTTATTTACTTAATAAGAAACCTTGACTTTTACTAATTATTTATTCTATAGTTCTAGAGTATTTTTTTAAACTATTACCACAAGGCTGTAACTCTTTTTCAACTCTATTTTAATGTTCAACAATGTATATACAATATTCCTAAAAGGTTTTCATAAAATTTAATATATTAATTATATTATTTTTTGTAGTTCAGCTTTTTGGAAAGTTTGGTTCAGATGATTGTCAAAAAGAGTTAATGAACTAACTACTTATATAACTTTAGTTATTGTCTAATTTAAATAGTTTATCTGAAGGTTTTATACTAGCTGCCATATCTAGAACTTACTTATGAGTACTTTATTTAAATAATCTAGTTTTTGTATTTATTTATCTATCTACTTTATCAACTGTTTTAGTTTTTATTAATACAAATATACCATGATCATTAAGTTTTTAAAGTAGTTTACTTATATAAAGAATTTTTAATCTTGTACTAAATTTATTAAAGCTTTCTGTTATCTAATTTTTAGCTAATCTAATATTGTTATAACTAAGAACAATATTTGTAGTTAGAATAACTCTTAAATTACTATCTCTCTGTAGAGTTTATATAATCTCAGTATTCTTTTTTACAACTTTAACAATGCTTTATACACCTTACAAGTTCTTTTATATTACTAATTCAGTTAACTCTGTATAATATAACTTTATGTCTAATTTAACTAATAGTCAGGTTGATAACTTTTTTTATTTAGAGTTTTTGTTTATATAGATTACTTGTTTTAGGTTTTTATTTTTTGATTAAGATTTTTACAAATAGTAATATTAAAAATTATACCATTTCTTTATTTAGAATTTTTAAACAGAACTTTTTATAAAATATATACTTTTAAATTTATTTTTATAATATTGTATATTTTTAAAGTTAGTCTTAATATAATTAGAATTATAAAGTTACAACTTTAGATGCTTTAATCAAGTTGTCAGAATAGGAACATTTTTTAAATATCTACTACTAGTAGAATTTGAACTCTAAATCTACTGTTTAAAAGATAACAACCTAACTATTATACTAGAATTGCTATTCTTTTTATAAAAAATTGTAATTTATTATTAAATATTAAGTATTGCTATTTTTATTCTCTTATTTTTGCTAATACTACTTTTCAAAATATATAAAAGCACTTTAAAAAAGATATTATTATTAAATAAAACTTTTTTTAATATTAATTAAAGTTGTTTATTAGATTTTTTCAGTTCTAATAATGATAAAATTATTAAAATTAAACTAGTAGTTTTTTTGTTAAAAGTAAATTAAAGATTATAAAATTTAGGTATAAATATTTTAAAAATTACTAGTCTGATCTTAATAATTTTACAATTATTAGATCTAATAAACAACTTTAATTAATACTAAAAAAAAGATTTACTTAATAATTATATCTCTTTCAAAGCACTTTTTTGTATTTAGAAAGGTGGTATTAGCAAAAATAAAAGGTAAAAATAGCAATTTTCTAAATATAATTTATATAAAAATTTTAGAATTTTTTAAATAACTTTATTTAATAATGTATCATTAATTTATTTAATAAAATTTTGACTTTATTATATAAAAATGTAATTTATATAAAAATGTAATATGATATTCAGAAAATATTAAAACTACTTTTTTAATATTTTTAATATAAATAAATAAAAATTATTTACTTAAATATTATTAAAGCATTAATTTATTTAATTTATTTTAATTTAAAACTTTTTTATTAATTTAAAAAATTTTAAAAATTTCTAATTTATTATGAACGTTATTTTATGGCCATGTCGACCCTATATTATTGGCCAATCAAAATTAAGCATGTGACTATATAATAAGTTGTTTCTAATTTTTATAATAAAAAATAAATTTTACTAACCCTAATATGATTGGCTGCTATATATAGGGTCGCCATGACCATTTATAATTTTCCATTTATTATATATTGTAATTATAATTAATGCCAGGGGTAATACGTACATAGCAAAAGCAACGCTTTTGCTATATATAGAAAAGGAAGGGTTACTGTAGTGTGCAGTAACCCTTTTCTACGTACGTATAGTATTACCTCTAATACTAAATAGAATAACTAATAAATAACGATAATAAGTAATCAATGTACATGTACATATTATGTACGTATAACAAGAAAATATCACTACGTACGTACGTACGTACATAAGGCGATATCAAACTTATTTAGATCATTATGCTTTAAAAAAATCATTTGTCATATCTACTTGTAGAAATATGCGTAAAAGGTAAGTTATTCGATAAATTAGTTATCTTGAAAAGTAAAAGTATTCTTCATGACTATTTTTAAATTATTGGTTTAAAATTGTACACTTGTTATGTTCAAGAAAAAAAAGTCATAATTTCATTAAAACTTTTTAAGGGTTAAACCAATTTTCATAAAAACATTAATTATTTCATCGATAATCAATCTATTACATTGGTGTTCATTTATGCAGATATGTATGTATCTGGTATGTATGTATCTGGTATATATGTATGCATGTATGTACTAATAATCTCAAATATTTTGAGTAACATTGGTAAACCCGGAAATCTTAACTATAAAGATTTTCGTTTAAATGCATTTTACAATAGAATAAGGTTTAAACCCCGCCTATTTAGTTTAAAATCACCGGAGGCTATGTGTACTACAATCTATCATTTTAGTATAAAAGATAACTTATGATATACTGATACCTGGTATATATATCATACTAAGTAAGTACTTACATAACAATAACTTCAAAGGTTAGTGTTAGAAATCAAAAGTTTTTTAAAGCCATATTACTTATAAAATCGTTTAATCTTATCTAAAAACAATGTCATTTATATTTTTTTTAAGCTTTATGAAAATTTTTAATTAATCTGTAATTAATCTTGTAAGATTATTAATCTAATGCTTTTAAGATGTTGTAACTCTAAATAAATATGCCTGGTATAAAATGATGTAACATCATGATTCATTTAAATCTTACACAAATTATGCATTTAATTATATTGAAATTTGTTAAAGTATCTGGTTTATAAATCGATGAACGCGCGAAAAATTTGAACTTAAATATTTGCTTTAACCATTAACATTAAATTCTCGTCTTTTTTTTTTTTTAAAAAAAAAAAAAAAATCCTTTTTTTTTTTTTTATAAAAAAATGAATCCTTTTTTTTTTATAAAGAAAACTTTTTATAAAAAAAAAAACTCTTTTTTTTAAAAAAAAAAGATGAGAAATCGAAAATACGCTTCTTAATACTATAAAAAAATGTTAATTGCTATACATGAATGCGACCATGAACTAGAAGCTTCCTAGAAAACTATGATTATCTGGCCTATACATTAACATTGTTCGCTTTATTAACGTTGAAACACTTTATACTAATTTTAATTAATGATATAAATTATATGTTGCTGTGTGATGTATAAAATTTGTACCGATAAAATGACCACTTTACCTCATAACCATTATGACTATTATATGATATGGAGCAGAGTATATGTACCGCATATCGATGCTAGTCTTTTTTTTTAAATTTACATATATTGTCCTTATAATTGTCGCCTATTGTCGTATGCACTCGGTTTGATTGAACCGTTCGTAATCATCATTTCTAACCATCTTAAGTACTTCCGCGATTACATTCTAAAATTGGCAATCAGATATCGATTTGAAAAAAAATTGACTTATTTTATTAATATTATAATATTATTACACATACAACTCATATATTTTCAGTTTCCACTATAAAAAAAAAGGGGGATTTAAAGGACTCGATATATATATAAATTTAAAAAAATATAATATTTAAAAGAAGAAAAATCTACAAAATTTATTTGCATAATAATTACTATGAATATAAAAAGGTGTATATACATATATATATATATATATGTTTGCATATAAAATTTAACAACACGCGATTTTCTTTATAATATAAACCATAGGCCCTAAAATCCAATTAAATTTTTTTTTTTTTAAGAAAAATAAATTTTTTCGCGTGATTTTATGGTTTTTTGAAAAAATATTTATATTTTTTTTAAAAAGAATCATAAAGAAAAAAAAAAAATTTCCATGATCATTCAACTGACTAACAATCGAAGATAATCAGAGTCATAAAGGTAATTGAAGAGAAATAAATGAAAATCAAAGAATAGTTTCGTTACAGGAAACCGCTTTCTTGTAACAATCTTGCTATTTTTTCATCCTCTCGTTCCCTGTAATGAAAAAATCAAAATATATTGATTGTTTTCCATAAGTCAAATCTATGTTTAGTAAATCATCATAAAATATGTTTTTCAAAGATGTAAAATTTTTAACAAGTTTTAACAAAATAAATTTTTGAAAAATTATACAGTTTCTATTTTTATTGTGGGAGGTGTGTAATATGTATATAATGTAATTCTAAATACAATCCATTAATAGAAATGAAATATTACCTTGGCTCCATATCCAAACTTGTACTATATAAATCGCTAACATCTCTACTATCTTGTAAATGACTTTGAATGAAAATTTGAATTTCCTGTACAGTAGTAAGATTATAGGGTACAGATTGATACTGTTGAATTTCACGTATTACATCTGCAGTTTTCATTCGTTTCGAAAAATTAATTAATTGTTGATTTTTTTTAAGAATATCTGGATTACCATCTTCGATAAAAGTAAGATCAGTTAAATAAACACCTGAAATAAATGATAAACATTATGTTAATTTGTATTAATATTATATTAATATAGTATTAATATCATATTTTATATTAATTTTTTCAATATTCTATTATTCCTTTTCTTCAAAAAAAAAAAAATAAAATAAAATAAAGTATATATATATTAATCTTACCCAGAAATGGTACGCACGGTGGATTCACGCTATGTAGCATTTCTCGATAATCAAAGAAATTCTTTGTAGAGTTCATGATTCTATTAAGGTTATCGAGTGTCTGTATTGTTCGTGCATTTACCATCTCCCATGTTCTCTTAAGGCGATGAATTGGTGCTGAATTAAGACCAGAAATAATAGCCGTTAAAGAATTGAAATTGTTTAATTGTCTACATCTATCAGCTACTGCAACAAAATGTTTGATCAAAGCACATCGTTTTTTAATTTCTTTTTGATTAAGAATGGATTCAGCTACCCATCCAGTGATCTAATAACCATTAGAAATAAAAATAAGTTTTAATTAATTAATTAATTAATAAATGTATTATAGATTAATGTATGCATGTTTTTGTTTTACCTGATTACTATTAACTATCATGGATTTGATGTTTACGGCAACTTCTTCACTTTCACCTTCACTTTCAACATCTTCACCATCTTTGCTTTCTTTACTCCATGCTTTATTCAGACATTCAACCGGTCTAATTTTATTGTAAAGTTTAGCTTCTATTATAGTTAATTGTCTTGCAATTTCTAATGGGTCCAACTCCAAAAATTTGATTTTTTTCAGATTTTTCGGTTTAATTGAAGGTGGTGGTAACATAGTATTATTAGGAATCATTTCTTTAAAGACTGCATCTTTTCGTTGTTGTAACTATAATGTATAATACAAAAAGAAAAAAAAGTGATATATATATATATATTCATATAACCAATTTTATAATTATAAAAAAATTAAATACCCGTTTATCAATGACTTTAATCAAACTAACTGCCGCAAAAGCCATGTGTTCATGCATTGTAGTTTGAGCAAATTCTCTTATACGTTCCAAACAAGAAGCGTCTTTATCATCAATATAATAATTTTCCAACCAACTCTTCATAATATTAAAAACTCTTAATCTAACAGGGGTTTGTTTTTTCTCTTGCCAAATTTCAAGTTGTTCAGATGTTAAACTATCAGGAGGTGAAATCATGAAACGTTTGGTCAACATTTCAAAAAATTGTTCAGTAGTACAGAATGAACGATATGTCAACAAAAAAGTTGCTATAAAACTTGAATCAAGTAAATCATGCATAGTTAATCTTTCTACTAAAGCATTTAAAGTACCACCCTTAACATGCCTTTCCATATTGAAAACTATTTCAGATTCTTCATAATCATATTTAAGGAACCATGGTTTATCTTCACGTTGTACACGTGTTTGATTTATGGATTGAACATCTTCTCCAAAGAATTTTGTAACTTTACTACTATCACTACGTGGTGACTTAGTACCACCTGGATTACTAGATAATGGAGGAGATGATGGTCGTTGATAATCTGATTGAGCAATAGATTGTGAATTTATACGTTGAGATGGTCCATAAGATGATGAAATTAATGTTGAATCTATTGTACTGCTTGAAAAAGAACGACCACCAGTCATAGAAGAACCATCAGAAATTGGGGATGTTGGAGTTTTATCTGGGTCATCAGTTATATTAATAGAATTTATATCATTTACTATCGTTGGTGACTCAGTAGTCATAACATAATCCTCTGGTACAGTCTGTAAACCAGTTGTTTGAATCGTTACTGGAGGACTAATTGGAATAACTTTTTGATCATCCATAATTTTAACATCTTCAATGACGTCATTCGCGCCATTTTCAATTGATATTGAAGATATTGAAGGACGTTTTAATGGTTGTATTTCAGAAGAATTAGAATGCCTAGGAGTACGCATTTGAATTCTTAATTGATCTTGAGTATCTTTTTCTTCCATAAGAAACTTTGCAGCAATGATCAAATCCTTTACAGACTTTTCAACAACATTAGTGGAAATTTGAACATGATCCATTACATTAGATTTGAGAGATGGATCAGTTGCACTTTGAGCGCACATAACTAAACCAGTAATATTATTATATAAAGCTTGTTTTGCAATTTTAAAATCATTTATAGAACTTTGACTAGTCTCATCTAAATCCTCTAAATTAATATCTTCAACCATAGATAAAAATTGACCAGCATGTGTAACAACCTGACGTGCCTGTGTTACTAGTTGTGGGGCAAATCCAGCAGTAGTATTATTACCAGGTATAGAAGATTGAGATATTTCAACATGTTTTCTAATAAGATTATTTATTAACATAATAGCCTTTGAGATGGTACGAGAAGAATGTTCTAGTGAAGCCAAAATATCAGGAGTTAAAGAACGGGAAGGACCGGAGGAATCAACACTATCCTGAGAACTAATGCTTGAAGTTATAGAAGGAGCAGGAAACATTTTATTATGACCAGGTATAACCAGATTATTACCGCGCCAAGAACCACCAATAGGACTTTCTACAATTTTAGGGTCAATAGGTCTAATATCTACAGTATTTTCAGCAGCTTGCACAAATTGACGAACAGAAACCAAAACTTCATCAGCATCGTTTTTCATTTTTTGAGCAGCATCAGGTGGAGGCCAAACACCAGAAGCAACTTTTGTAGAAAGGACCAATTTTGATAAAGAAGCCATGATATGTCTATGATAAGTTTTTAAAGTTCGATTTTGACGAATAATTGGGGACTCTTTTTCAACGGTACCAGAAGCATATAGCATGATACGAACGCTCTCAACAATAGCATTCGTACAATTTTGATAATCTTGTTTCGCGTTTTCTCTCGCAGCCACAGTTAAATTATTAATAGCAGAATAAATAGTGGCAGATAACGAGTCCCAACTATAAGGTTCATTAGAGATTCGCATGAGAACAGATTGATCAATATTCTTTTGAGGAGTAGCAATAGCAATAGGAGGGGGAGGTGGAGGAGGGGGAGGTAAAGGATCATCTGGAGCTTCATCAAAGCCAATACCCTCACAAAAAGGTATAGTATCATCATCAGTTTTAATCTAATGAAGACAGAAATAATTATAAATATAAAAACTTAATAAATTTTAAAAAAGATATAAAAAAAAAAAAAATATATATATATATATATATATTACCAAACGGCCATCTTCTTCAATATTACCAAGATTCCAAGTAGTCTCTCCGGTCGTATTATTAAAATAATAAACTTTTCCTCGGGGAGTAATTTTCTTACCCCAACCAGGTGGAAGCTAAAATATATATATATGTGTGTACAAATAACATAAATGAAAGAACATGAACGAAAAAATATATGACTAAAAAAAAAGGAATGAAACGATCGTATACCTGTTCAGAAGCATCATCGTCATCAGTTTTAATCTAAAAGGATACAAGTAATGAATCTGATCTATCTAATCGTAAAAATGGAAACTTAAATAAACCAAAACAATATATTACCAGAAGACCATCTTCGCCAATATTATCAAGACTCCAAGTAGTCTCTTCGGTCGTTTTATTAAAATAATAAACTTTTCCTTGGGGTGTAGTTTTCTTACCCCAACCAGGTGGAAGCTAAAAAAATTAGCATAGATGAAAAGAATATAAAAGTTTAAACGAAAGAACATAACCGAAAGAACATAACCGAAAGAACATAACCAAAAGAACATAAAATAATAATAATAATAATCATAATAATAATAATAATAATAATAATATTATTATTATTATTATTATTATTATTATATTAATATTAACATTAATATTATTATTATTAATATTAACATTAATATTATTATTATTATTATTATTATTATTATTATTATTATTAACAAACATGCACCTTGTCGTCATCAGTAGAAAGTTGTTGCTTTGGTTGAATGGTAACAGTGTTATTACTTAACCCACTATCCTTTGAACTAGTGACACTTTCCTTATCAGCATCCACCAAAGTTTCATCGACAACCTCTCCTTCTACACCCTCCGAAATAACACCAATTTCATTATCATCAACGGAATCAGAATTTCCAGGATCACCAGGGTAAGTCCATCTAATCTCTTCAGTTACCGTATTAAAGTAATAATATGTATTACCATCATCGGTAGGTTGTTGTATCCAATTTTCTGGTAGCGGTTTAAGTTTTATAAAAGAACCCACGGTAGAATGTGTAGAAACACCGGATCCAGTGTAATTACTAGAATCACGTGACGTAGAACTATCGTCCATCTGTTTTTCGTCTATTGGTAATTCCCAAGATGATTCACCCGTTCGGGTATTATAATAAAATATAACACCATCTGGAGTTTGTTGAGGAATCCAATCGGATAACTAATAAGTGAAATAATGAAATATTCAAATATTGAAATAATTGGTCAGAACGAGTTTAAAATCAACACGCTCTCATGGACCAAAATCGATCGATAAGAATTAAATTAATAAAATTATTAAGAAATAAAATAAAAAAAAAAAATAGATAAAATAAATAAAAATGATATATGATTAAAGTTTATATAATTCTTTAAAATTCTTTAAAATTCTTTAATTAACAATAAACGAGACATCACATCAAACCAAAAATTCATGAACCTAACAGAATCAAATATTCAATGGACCGTGACAATTTATAATAATTTATAACCAATACCTTATCGTCATCCGATATATCATCCTCATCATCTAAATTGGTAACATAATTACTAGGAAACCAGCCACGTTCACCGTTGCATAGACCGTCCCACCAACCAGATTCTAGCTGCGTAAGAACTTGTATTATATCATTTTTTTTAAAGGAAAGACTCGAAGTATCTGTAGAGGTAAAGTCGTATAATGCTTTTACAAATAGGATCGATGAGGACATTTTTTTTTTTTTAATTTACAAATATAGACTTATTTTTAGGAATAAACGACAGCGAGATTATGGGAGGAGGGATAAGTTGCAGGCAACCAAAAATATATAAATATTAAACGACTTTTTTACAAATAAATTCGTAGCAAAAAAGGTAGACATGAAAAAAGATAGAGTAAGTTAAAAATTATTAAGAAAATTTTGCAAATGAAGGCTTTTAAGGGGGGAAGTATTACAACGTGGTTAAAGAAAGAAGAAAAAGAAAAAAGAAGGACTGACAAAAACTTCTGAAGCAGATTATAGTTATATAATTCAGCAATTTTTATATAATAAATTAGTTTAAAAAAAGTTGTACAAAAAAGGTTGCAAGTTACACAATAAAAAGCACATAACTGATATATACGTAAATACGGTACATATGTTATGTATGGGGCAGATATATTTTATATGCAAATCAAATGAGTCAATATAGTCAATATAGTTCAATATAGTCAATATTATTATTATTATTTCCATAATGGATTTTCAAACTGCAGTTTCTTTTCGACAGGTACCGGTAAATAATAAACTAAAAAACAGGGTATGATATTTAACTATATAATATTTACATTTACGCTAAAGCTAATACTTTACATTTAATATTTACATTAATATTTACACATTAATACTTACACTAATACTTACACAAAAGAGATAAGATGCACAACAACCATAAACGAACAAGGAAAATCCACGTTGTATATAAACACAGTACATACGTACAAACAACATTAAAGGACTGATTCCAAAGATAATCCGAATGGAACGAAGATGAGAAATCATTCAGGCGCGAAGACCAAAGAAGAGAAAAAAAAAAGTAGATCAATTATGAAGTCGGGACGCACCGAAAGGGATGGTGAATTGATCCAATGCAGATCACACAGATCTGAATCGATAACGTACGTGGGGTCAGTGCTTCATTAAACGAATTTACATTATGGACCAACCAGTAAATGGTGAATATTGATGATATTGACAGCTACTATAGTAATAAATGCTAATAATACATCAATTAGTCAATTAGAAGAGAATGTCTGGACAAAGTTTTTATTTACGTAACATAAAGTACGACTTGAGTGTTACATTTCGTTATAAAATTACTCATAGAGAAAAAGTATGTATGACAAACAAGGTTAGATCAACTTCTCGTTACCTAAGTTTGCATATATGAAGTTGGACGAACGGTCTAACGTATGTACGTAAGCTTACTTAAAAATACACAAGCATTGACGTTATGTTCTATATTTTTCTATATAAGTTATATAATATTATTATTCCTTTTTTTTTTTTTTTTTTGAGAGAGAGAGTTAGAAAACCCGCGAAACTTTAACCAGATTGGTTTGTTGCCTTTTTATGGGAAGTGTCACCTAATCTTCATGATCGAACTTACTATGTTTAAATCCAACGGGGGAAATTGATTTACAATATGAAAAATACGATTGGATGCCAATAACGCCTTATTTAACGATCGTTTCACATTTTAATGTTAAGACTATCCTGGGATTACTATCTAACGACTATCTTGAGATGACTAAGACTACTTTGGTTGCCCATTCTCTTACGTAGTCACTTTCTTAGTCATGCATTTGGTCAGATTTTTTTCAAATTATCAAAGTTATTATTGTTTGAACTTTCACTACATCGTTACTTCCGTTTACTTATTATTGTTGGCAATTTTTAGTAAGTTTATTTTGAATAAATATTTATGATAAATTAATAAACTAAATCTTGTATTGTGCCAAATTTTGTCAAATTATTGTAGAATATGGTTAAATGATTTTATTGTCTGACCGCGTGCAAAGAGTCGTCGAATCGCACGTCCACATGACTTACCTTCTTGGCGTCCAATCAGTTCTTCGATTTTAATGTATTAGGTATGAGAAACGTACGTACGTACTTGCTCTGCGGCCGAACTTATCTAAAATTGTGTTTAATAATTGAGTTTAAATACGTACGTACTTGATATATTTCTATTTCTTATATACATACATATACGTATGCTGATTTTCTTATACGTATATATATTTTTACTGATATTTATATATCGATATATACCATATCTATATCAGATATATCTATGTTACCTCTTACTATATATATTTTACCGTTACTATATATATATATATATATATTTGTTATTCTTACTATTTTTGATTTAATTACAACACTATCCAATTTTTTCATAAAGTCACAAAAGGTTACTACGAATTATATACTCGGCCTAGTGATTAACCGTTTCATCCGGGCTAAGGATTTATCCTAACACGATCCAGATCCCAATTAATTATACAATCCTTTGGATTGTCTGTTAATAGAGGACAAGAAACTTTTTTATCGATCTAATTATTGACTTGTGTGAATTTTTTATTATGACAAAATCGATAGTATGGTGCTTAATTGAACTTTCTCTAAACATTGGTGCTTCAACTTAACTCGAGTTTTCATTCATCTCTCCATTTAAGGCGTACATAAAAAACTCTATATATACATATAATATAATGCTTACATGATTATATCATATTTCATTGACTTTGTGAATAAATAAATTCATTGTCAAAATGTTAAAATTAAATTGACGTGATCCAGGGGATGCCGTACAAATATGCTACAAATAAAAATAAATTTACTTCAATTCTTACTGTTGGTGTACCTTGTAACCTTGCTAACGTTATATTAGTGTAAATTATTCTTACTGTAATTTACTTTGTTATCATGTTTAATTTTATTACGTTTATGGGTTATGCTGACGCCAGACAATTATTTTCTAAAAAATTCGATTCTTATGTCTATATATATATAGTTGTTAATATATCGTCTAGGCTTTATTTATACTAATAACATTCGCATAACTCTTGCTTTTAACTAAATCTTTGGTGTTGGATCAATTACTTACTTTTCACAAGACGTGTTTATCTTACGCAAATTTTATGTATTTAGATGTACTATTTTTTTTTTTTGTTTACCGTTACTTTGTTCGGTTTTAATTTCTGGAAAATTTAAATTACAAATTTGTTAATGGTTTTCTCTTTTCAAGTTACCTTTGATTGTTACTATTTACTTGGTTGATTGAATTTAGAAATTTTAATTATATTGTAGAATCATTTCGGCAACAAAAAAAAAAAATGTCTAAATTTTTAATTCAAATTTAATTAGTAATTGCAAAACTTTGTTATAATATTAAAGCCTATGAGATGTCGTTTCGAATAAAGCGCCAAAAAAAAACCCAGGTAATCTATGGTGGTACGTAATTTATGGTACGTAGTAATTTATGGTGGTAATCTAACAATTTTAGTTATTGTATTTGCTGTGTACGTAAAAAAATATAAAATATATCCAAAATAGAATTCAACTAATTTTTAACCACCTACAATTTATTATAAATTTTTCCATAAATTTTAAATTTCAAAATTAGAATTAATAATAAAAATAGAGTTAGAAGTATGATTAGGGTTAGAATTATGACTAGAATAAGGTTTTTATAATACGTACTGAACATTTTTTACTTAATATATCAATTACGATTATTTTTAACTAGGAGCAAGTTAGTAATATTTTAAAAATATATATATATGTATTATTAAATATTATTGGTATAATTTAATAACAATTTTTGTATATAGTATAATTTTTTAAAATAAAATTAAAAGCTAAATATCGGATTATTGTTCGAAGACTTATAAAAGATGTAAATTCTTGAGTTCCGGTCACCTGACATATGTCCAATCAGCGTTTAACTCAATATAACACATCGACACGGATCAGCCCTACAAAATGGAAAATCCCATAAAAAGCCTATTATTACAGTTCGGGAATATACCAAATTAGGAAATCGTACTCAAGAATGAACTACAAGCAAATTCTCGAATTTGATTGGCTTTCACGTGCCTTTTACTCCTTAAATGATTTTTTTAATAGTTATTAGAACCTAACAAGTTTCAAATACATAATTCATGATAGTAATTTTAATAATTTCAAACAATTTCATATAATAAACCCTTAAATAAATGGGCTGTGTACTGAGAAAAGGGATCAAATTGATTTTTTTTTTGAAAAAAAGTTCTTAAGTAAAATAGATATAAATTTGATTATTTGATTCAAAACATTTATTATTTTCAAAAAATTTTTTTTGTTAAATTGGTTCCTTTTTTTCAGCAGTCCAAATCATCAAAATAAGGTTGTTTTTTTTTTCCTTTTAAGCAGTTATGTTAGTACTTTATTAAGATTCTTGTAATTACTATTGCAATTATATAGATTTACTTAACAACTAAGTTTAGCATTACCTGGTAACCCTAATAATGCCTAAGTGCAATTTGTCATATTACTTTAAACAAAAGTAAGTTACTTGTTTGACTACTTAAAGTTCATAATAAAAGAATCTTTTTCTTTTTATAACAAGTTTCAAAATTGTTTTTTAAGTTTTATTTTTAATTCATTTTTTTTTTTTTAGTTTTTTTTTTTCTTCTATTTCTTGCTAACTAGTCTTTTTTTTTTTTTGTTTTTTTTCTTTTGGGTTTCTTTTTTCATTTTACTAATTATTCTTATTTTTTTTTCTATTTATTGATTTTTTTATATTATGTTCTTTAAATTTGTTTGTAAAAGATATTCTAGATTATTTCTGCTAATGCATTTACAAATTGTTGTCTAGTTCTTATATTTAGAAGTTGTGCTAATCTGTTGTTACAGGATTGCAGCCTTCTTAGTACAATACAACCAAGTAACAAGGTCACCTGATACAGTGATTGACTATTGCAAATATATACGAGGTGGAGGTGTAGTAGTTCATTTTACTACACAGCAATAGGCAAACAGTTCAAGATAATAACAGTATATAGATTAACTTTTTATTAATAACACACATAGTGACAACCTTGCCTGTAAGAATTACCCTAGAGAGGAAATATCACATTTTATCATTAAAAGATCATTATGTTTGGATTGAAGTATAGGAACTTAGAATTGACAGAAAAGAGAAAAAGGTATCCTTTATATATCTTTTTATCTAGTAGGGGTAGTGGAGGTTTGAGTGACATCTTTTGATACTATACTTGGGGTAGTAGGAATTGTGCAGAGGCAAGTGGAGTTTGTATAGGAATAGTTAGGACAATGTTTATATGTATTTATCATTTGTACTTAAAACACTTGAGACATGTGTTAAGGTACTTGAGTCTGTGCAGAGACACTTGGAATTGTGCAGAGACACTTGGGAATTGTGTTGGAATACTTAAGGATTGTGTTAGGAATACTTGAGAATTGTGTTAGGGATACTTGGGATTCTTGTACTGTGATATTTGGCACAGTAAATTGTACTAGGATACATGAAACTTGTGTAGGGATACTTGGGGTTTTGTAAGACAATAATAACATCATAGATGTTACCCAATGTTATGTGTCTGTATCATACTTTTAACAGCCAATTAAGATCTTATTTTCTAACTACTATATACTATAATATAACTATACTAATAACTAATAATAAATATAATATAAAATACAATAATAAATATATAACAACTACTAATAATATAATATACTATGTTATACTAAAAATCTACTTTGTAATACTGTTTTAAACAATTAACAGAATCTAAAAATCTAAAAAAATAGAAAACAATTATCATAAATCATTGGATAAGATACCTTCTTTAATTTGTATCAGGTATGTTTCAAGATTATTTGTTGTAGCATTTTGTAAAAAACCTAGGTATGAATCAAGAGTTGATTTAATAATAAATTGTTTTTTTACTAATAGGCTAATATATGTTCTTTTATACAAGATACTCAAGAATATGAATTAAATTTTTATTATATTACAAATTTTTTTTGTAATATATTTTATTACAATATTCTTTTGTAATTATTAGTAATAGTGATTATTATATATTGATGTAATAATTCTTGCACCTATTACTACATTTTACTGTAATTAGAAACTATTACTATATTTTGTGTAATTATTTATTTTTCTTTGCTATAATAAAATAAATATCTCTTTCTAGTTAGTTTTTTAGTTTAGAGAGTTAATTAATTAGTTTGTTCATTAGTACTTAAAAAAATTATTTGTATATTAGGTACACTTCAAGAAAATACTTATCTGTATAGTTTATATTTTTTTGTATTTGTATATTAAAATAAATTATTAGTTCCTTATTTTTTTTTTTTTTTGCTTTCGCTAAGACTGATGTCTATCGGCAGCTATTATCTTTATTGTGTATTTTTAATTATATATTAATTGTATAACTTGTACAAGATGAGTGTACAACTAGCTACTTGTACAACTTTTGGTTATTTATTTAAGTAGTCTGCCCAAAGGTTCTACACTAGTTGCTATATCTATAATCTACTAGAAGATTATTTATTTAAACACTCTAATCTTTTATACTTATATTAATCAAATGACCCCAAGACTTCTGTACATCTTGGTGCTGTCTAATCTAACATGTAACCTCTCTTGTTATATATCTGTTAGGCCATTACATATTTTAGAGCACATCACCTAACTGTAAGACCCAGAATGCCTTTCTGTTAACTAATTTACCTACTTTTTATTATAGAACATTAATAGGGCATGTTTTTGCAAAGTTTACCCAGATTCAGTACCAACTTTACAGCATATCTCTAGTACTTATAGTATACCTCTGGTTTGATCTCAGACTTCCAATCTAGATAGCCTAGTAGAACTGTAATCTGTTCTGATATATTGAGTCTAACCTGATATTTTTTTCTTTCAGTCCAATTTCTGGCAACCTGATTGGTAGTACCTCTTACCTAGAGGTTCTTGCCTGCCTAATTTCTCTACATTGGTATTTATTTTTTAAGTCTAACTTTTACAGTAATACTGTTGAAGATCTGTGTTATCTCTTTACTTGGGTCTTTCTAAGTAGGCTTAGGTTTCTTTAGTTTTATGAATTTATATAACCAAAGGACTTATTTTGGGTTTGCATCACCTGGTACCAATTTGCATCTTTCTGTATAATCAAGATTACACAGATGCTCCTAACCTGCCAGTTATGCTAATGTAACTATAGTTACAGGTATCCTATCCTAACTAATTAACAAAATACTATTGCTATAATATAAATATTATATAAATGATTATCCAAATTTCATCACTCATTGGTTTTAAACTCACAACCTATCACTTGGAGGGTTGACAACCTGACTACTTTACTAGATTACTACACCCTATAGTTTCTTATTTTTAATGTTTATAGTTTTAAGATAAATTGACTAGTTATAAGTTGCTCTTTTAACTGTAACAGGTAAATGAAAATACTAGAACAGTCTACTAACACAGCATTTACATAACTTATCTTCTTATCAGCATAGCAATAGTTAATACAATTACAGCTGTTTTTACAAATTCTGGACTATTAAAAATTTTTCAATGCCAAAATCAATAAGTTATTGTCTTAGAATCAATAAGTTATTATTTGGTTATCAAATATCTTAAAATTCATAAAACATTGCTATGTTAATAAGAAAAATAAATTATGTGAATGCTGTATTAATAAACTGTTTCAAAATACCTGAGTACATTATATAGTAATTTAAGGTAATAAGCATTTATAGTAAAAGAACAAACAATAAATATTTTAATTTGTTTATTGTTATGAGTTGTAATTTTTGATGTAGTTATAATAAATATTGTAGGTTGTAATGATTGACATAGGCTGTAATAAATATTATAGGTTGCAATTAGAGATGGTATTTAGTCAGCTTAGCTTAATTTGGTTTGAAAACTCTCTAGTTTAAAAGATAAGTAGCTAAACTCAGTTTATAAGGTTTATAATATATGTAATTAATTTATATAAAAATTATGATAATTTTTTTTTTTATTAAACAGTTATCTTTCTAATCTATTTAATCAATCTACAGAAATTATTAGATTATTAAATTTTAAATGTTATCATCCCAAATACTTTTTCACAAGGTCAATATAACACTTTTGCTGTTTTGTTAACAATTACTAGTCAAATATATGATATCTTTTAACTTGCAAATCTTAGTAATACAAAATAAAAAAAAAAACCTTATTCACAATTTATTTCATCATCAATATCTTCATATCTTCTATGTCAACATTATTAATATTTTTGCCAATTTTTTCACTGATTCAACTCTTTAGACATAATAATGCCTATGCAGTTTTAGAATCTAACTTGTTATGTACCTTTGAAATGATAAGCCTAGCAATTGAAAACACTTGTTCACATAGCACACTTGTTGCCTGAATCATAAGATAGTCATATGCCATAGCTAACAAAACTGGAAATTGAACCTTATAAACTTTTTATCACTCTAATGAATTACAATTTTCATTAATAGAAATAGCAAGATATCTTTCTAATTTATTGTTGACATTAGGTTAGATAGGTATAGTTGAACAAAATTGATTCACAAGATTTTTTAAATAGGCACAAGCATTATTTTAATTAAATGATATACTTTTTGGTAATAGTTCTGTTTGGTTTGGTGTATTTAATATAGTAGTAGTTGAATAATGAATCATTTTACTATATAATAAAAATATTGCATTATTAGTTTTATCACCAAATGTATAAACTGAACACTTAACACAAGGATCTAATATAGTTGCAATTTTAATAGTATTATTGATATGTAGATAATATTCATCAAATTTGTGCCATATCAAATCAGTCATAATATATTGTGTAGTATTATTAATAATTTCATATTTTAATTTTTGTTTTAAGGTCTAAAAAGTAAAATAAAAATTTTTGATATTGAGAATAAAAACAAAGAAAGAGACAAAGTTGCTGAATATATGGGTTCTAAAATTGGAATTAATTCCTATATTATCATTATTATCGTTATATTAATTATTAATTATATTATAATAGTATAATAAAATAAAATTTATTATAATAATATTTAAATACTTACATATATATTAGCCCAATCAGTATTTGTAAAAATTAATCAAAATCAAGATTATTTCAAAAATCAAAAATTTAAATCATTAAATTTATCAAGATTTTGAACAATAAGTATATTTACTTGTATTCGAATTTTTAAAAATTTGATTAATGTATTTCTGTATCTATTTCTGGACCCAAAAATAGAAGTCTGTCTAATTCAAATAATTTTCACTAACTTGTTATTAACAAATTAGATCTTTTAACTTTTTTTATAAAAATTCAAACTTTTTCAATTACTTTACTATGTACTTAAAAACTATATTGTACAGCTAAATTTAGTATATATGCTTCATATCATTGATGTAAAAACAAAAAATTACCAAAATTAGCTAATTTATTAGATAACTGATAGGTACAAGCAATCATAACGGTATGATTATCGGTTGTTAATGATATAATTTTTGTTGTTAAATTATATTCTTTTAATAAAGTTATTAATGTTTTTGCTATATTTGCACCTGTATGTGATTTGTCAAAAGGAATTATATCTAATAAAAACTTGCGTATTTTCCAATTACTATCTATCCAATGAATGGTTATTCCTAAAAAAGAATAATTATTTCCTAATGTCCACATATCAGTTGTTAATGCGACCATACTAGAAATTTTTTGCAGATCTTCATTTAAATTTTTTTGTTGATTTTGAAATAATTTTACAACATATGAACTAATATAATGTCAAGATAGTATTTTGTAACATGGGTTAAATTTTTTTAACATTTTAATAAATGATTCTTTCTCTGTTACTGAAAATAGTTGTAAACTTGTAATTATCCACTTAATTAAATATTTATTATATTCATGTTGTTTTTGCTGATTATAAGGGATAATTTCAGTTTTTGTTTATAAATTTCAAGATGATTTTTTTTAACATGTTCTTTTAAGGTTCTAGTTGATGTTGAAAATGCATATATAATAGAACAGTATTTGCAATTTTGAGATATTTTAGATTGATCAAAAAATTTATCTATTTCTGATTTTCTTTTTCTTTTGATATGACGAATAGATTCACCACTCTCAAATTGTAATGATTGAGTTGACAAAGTATCTAAATTAGATTCTGTATCATTAAGTTCATTAATATATCTTGAATGTTTATTTCAGACATTTTTTTGAATAATAAAATTAAAAAAAAAAACTTTATTAATTTATATAAACTTAAGACAATTATCAAGTAATTGTCTGTAACTACTAGTAAAGCTTTCTATTTTACAAATTACTCAAATGCTAATTCTTTATTACTTTTAATATTAGTATTTTTAATATTACTACCTGTTATTATTATGTTATTTTTTTTAATTTTTGTAATTGTATGTATATATTGCATATATATGCATACTATTAAATAATTAAACTAATCAAACCAAAGCTTAAACTATTTTAAGTTGTCTTAAATTTGGTTTGGTTTAAAATATGTCTAACCAGTTTGCTCCAAACTAATTACTATTCCTAGTTGCAATACTTGTTGTATTTATATATAGTGCATTATAAAATTAATTTGGATCTTTTAAATTTAGTGTTTCAGAAGAAAATAAAATATCTTACATTATTTATACAAACTTTGATAATTAAGCACAGATTTTGTAAGCTTCGAGAATAATTTTTGTTTCAAAAGAAGCAAGAAAAATATAGTTTATAAATATAAATTAATGAGAATAAACCAGAGTAAATACAAAAACTTTGTATAATTGTTAGAAGACTAAAAATTAGAAAGACCAATTTTATATAATACAATTACTAAAGTGAATTAATATATTTAAGCTTACTAAAACTGCCTAAGAGATAGAAATAAACTATTTATTATATTTAATATTTTTTTGAAATTAAATAATTTCAAATATTAAGTTATACTCTTCATAATAGGTGCAAGTCAAAATCCTAACAAACAGAATTCTAACAGGTTATAATCCTAACAAAAACATTCTGACAATTAAAAATTCCAATAGTTAGAATTTTTAAGTAGAAAATCTCCAAATATGAGATATGTTTAAAGTAAAATAAACTCTTATAATTTAATTAATTTTAGAGTTAGATCACTTTAGATAATGATTGGAATAGGGTTTGCTATAAGCTATTATATTTTTTATTAGAGTTTTTAATTGTTGAAATTTTAACTATTAGGATTTTTGACTGTTAGAATTTTTTTGTTGAGATTATGATCCGTTAAGATTCTGTTTGTTAGGATTTTAATCTAAACTCTTCATAACAATTAAAAAAATTCATATTCAAATCAATTCTGATAAATTTTTGAATTGATCTTTGTAATAGTTCTAAATATTATCAAAAGTTAACTAAAGAGCAAGTTAAGCTATATTTGTAAAATAAAAATATTTTAAAAACAGCATAATAAAATAATTATATATATTCATATATATGTACCATAATTCATATTTTAGGGTAGAGTATATGTAGATCATTTTTTATATGATCTTTGTAGTACAATATAATTTTTATAAAAAATAAAGCTTTGTTACTAATAAAACTTTTTACTATTGTAATTAATTTTTATCAAAT